ATTCTGAGCAATCGCCTCGGACTCACACAGTAAGAGCTCCATAGTTTCGTCCTCCTCCAGGCATAAACGGCAGACTTCGTTAGCTAGCCGTTTTCTTTTAGCAGCCTCGATACTAATACGTCAGACGAGAGGGCCCCAAGAACGGTACTACTGTTCGACATAATAAATATCCTGCTCCTTCTAATGTTCCTCCTTATACATTCCAGAGCACACAACTCTATGGCATATGTCACAGGCTGAAATATCAATGGACAGTTTCCGAGGGCCGCAGATATCCTTACGTCCTCACCGTACACATCCACTCCCAACCCTTCATTGGTTTTGGATCCATCCGTATAGAAGATCACGGCCCCAGGGCCAAGTTGTTGCCCCCCTCAGTCCCGGGTCTTCCTTTCAGCTAGATCTTCAACGTATTGCCTCACTATATTTTTCTCCCTCAAACCAAAGTTCAAGGGCATCCCTATGTCGTGTAAGTCATTGATTTCCGCAATGATGTTTAGATGGCCCCTAAGCACACCCGGTTTTGGCTCCCTGTATTGTCTTATCCGCAGTGCTCCTTTCATAGCCTACCCCTTTAGGTGAATATAAAGCGGGGCCAAACTCAAGAGAGATCGAGGCCGTTGGGCACGTCTATAGGGACAAGGTATGCCCAACGTCATAAAACCCCCAAAAGTTTTCTCTACTATATCATAAAAGTAAACATAATGCCAAAGTAAAGAATGCAAATATATTTTTTATCAAGTCTGAAAAAATATTGACGTAAATCTCAGAATACTTCAAATTTACTCCTGTTACGAATATTGTTAATATGGGTAAAGTAAAATCAAATAAGGTTTCTTTTTTATACCTGGCATTTAATAATGGTAGGTAGAACATAACTACAATTCATTAATATTTTAAAAGAAAATTTTGAAAATATTTTTTGCAAAAAAAATTTTTATATCATTAATAAATTCTTGACAATACTAATTATGACAAATATTTACATGAGAAGGATGAGTTACAAAAAAAAAAAATTCGATCCGACATTAAAAAGGAATAAAAATTTGCATGTAAAATCCTTTTAATTGTACCTCCTCTCACAAAATATGTATAAAGGTAAATCCTTTGTTCTATTGTCCTATTTTCTTAGTAAAAAATTAATTTTTTTTGGTGCATTTTGCAAATTTTTGAAATATTTAAGAAAAATTCAAATTTTCATTTTTACAATGTACACAAAAAAACAAAAGGATATTCAAAAGGATATTGGAGAAGAATAAAATTTATTTTATTTTTTGTTATAATGGAATTTTTAAGAAAAAAAAATTTAAATGTCCTTGAAATGTGTTTTTATTTTATGTCAATTAAAGATAAAAGATGTAAAAATATCCCGCAAAGGTATGAGCGAAAGAGCTAATAAAATTTTTTTTTTTTGCTTTTGTGCTAATGAGCACCTCTAATTTCAAAAGGATATTGAATATATGAAAAGCCGTTAGTTTAAGTGTTAAAATGCACCTTTCATACAAAAATTACACATATTTTTCTTGAAAAAATTTTTAATAATAATAAAAAATATAAAATATTAGAAATATTTAAAAAAAAAAAGAATTTGTACCTCCTGGTATCTTGTAAGGTATTTTTGTGTATGAAATTTTTTAAATCCTTTTTGCTTTGTTATCAAAAAACCAGTTCGGTTTAATGGACTAGAAATCAAAAAATATTTGTTCTCACCATTTGCATTTCTTTTAATGTCTCCTGCATGCTGTCATACTGCGTTTAATCATTTATCATATCTCTTTAAAAACTATACGTCTTTTTTGCAAATTTTTCATAATGAAATGGTCGTACTTCTTCTTTAAAAATGAAATATTGTATTATTATTTATGAGTTTTTACATACAAGTAAATAAAAGAAAATAACTGCTTTAACATTGTACTTAAGGAGAAAAGATAGATCTGGTTGTTTTCTAAAGTGTGATGAAATACTTGTAGAAATTTTGAAGGAACAATATACAATATCAGACAATTTTGATCACGTATTACAAAAATAGCGGAAAATATTATTACGGTATAGCTGAAATACTTTCTGAAATATGGCTACTTGTGAATTCTTCAAAAAATTCTCGAGCAAAAGTTAATTGAACTCAATTTCAGTTTAATTTTATGAGAATGCAGGTTAGTTTTATTGTAGATACGTATACATGTGCTAGTGGAGCTTGGAAGGAGTAATAAGGTCATCCTGTCGTGGACCCAGGCGTATGTGAGTATTTATGGTAACGATAAGGCGAATGCTTTTATTGAGCCCTGGAAGGAATATTGGACGTGGAGTGTTGCTTACACGAATCTGTAATTACGTGAGAATTTATGGCTTAGCTGGCGCTTTATAAACAGAGGGATGTCACAATTACCCTTATGGTTACAACGACCTGATGATCCCTGCCAATCTACAAATCTAATCTAATGGCCGAAGCGGAATAGAGAAAGAACAGCAGCTCTATGCTTTGAGGAAGAACGATATAAATATTATGGTGGCATCTGAAACTTTAGTTTCAGCAAGTTACTTATCTCTGACAAGGACAAGGCAGGGCGAAAGTTGGCCTACAGAACTCACAGAGACTTCATTGGGAGTGATCCGATTCTAAGAATAACCATGTTGGATGCCTGTGTGTCCGGTATTTGAGCCGGTTTCTAGCGTACTTGGTGTGGGTTCGGATGTATGCGACCCTGGACCCGTATTGCACGGTGTTCCAAGCCGAAATACATGCAATGGGGATTTGTCTGAGAGTCAATTTAAGAAAGGGGTATAAAAACCGTACCGTCTATGTGTTCTCGGACAGCAGGGCGGCATTGTTGGCACTTAAATCGGCTCAGGTTACATTCGAGCTGGTCTGGGACTGCCTTAATGCACTTGTGGAATTGGCATCGGTGAACAGAGTCACACTCATTTGGCTGCCAGGCCACAATGGGCATGCGGGTAAAGAAATCGTCGATGGGTTGGCGCGGGGGGCTTTGATGTTGACTTTGTGCAGCCGCTGCCTTTGTGTGGTCGGCCTTTTTCCACCATGAGAATCAGGCTTGCCTGCCTGTTCGCGGCGCAATGCGGCTTTCATGAGCGGGGCACGAAGTGGTGTCATTATGTGAAGGTGTTCTTTCGTCGTGCTCTGGCGGATTCACCGCAGAGTTGTCGGCGATGAACAAGAGCGCCGGGTTAACGCTATTGCGAATTTCTAGACTGGCCCTCCATTGCTCATATTATAAATATTTGCTGTAACTACTTATTTCATCAATTATTTTATATTTTGTTTTATGAGCTTTCTGATCTGAAATAACCTGTTATAAGTCTACAACATTGAAAATATTATTATTTTTTGTTTGTATCGGTTAAACAAATTTTTATCTCATTTAAATTTCCTCTTTTATACATAAAATATTTAGTTTACTTATTTCATTTTACTAACGTAGACCCATAAAACCGAACACCTGGTTATTCTTTTAATTGATAAGAAACAAAATTATAATGTACTACATATATGTAGTATAAAAGTCACTGATAACATAATAATTAAACAGAAAATAAAAAAAAACAATAATTGTGAAAATAATTTTAATTTCAAAAATCATAACAAATAATAAAAATACTTGGTATACCAAAAATTGTTTATATCTGAACCTACAATAAAAATAATTTGGGAAACAACGTTAGTTGTGACTCACGTTATTTAAACACAAAAGTTTCAAAAAAAGTTTTGGAAATACCTACAATATAAAACTATTCCATTCTGATAATGATATTGTGAATTAATTTTCATAAGTTTTTCTCCATAAAATCACATACGTTATCAATTATCATAACTAACATGTCATTATGTGTTATATATACGCATGCAATTTGATAAGGTTAATAATATTGGCTTCTTCAACATAATAATATCAAAGTGCCACAATGTTGAAAGAAGAAGCATATAGACAGAACCACGTGAAGTACAATCAACAGCTTTTCAATATTTCAAATTACAACAAAGCATAATATCGTATCAGCATATTACCTGTTAATCGGCTCTTTCAAGTCTATAATTTTGAAAATTTCGAAGATTACATAAATTTGATTAAGCTAAAAAGAAAAATATAATGAAAAAATAAATATTCGTTTGTAATATAAACTCCGATTATGAATGCCTGATTGAGTGCCTTAAATAGCGTTAACAAAACTCTAATCACATGAGTGCTTCCTATTTGTAAAGGTATGTGCATTATAACATTTTCCTTATAACTACTTTAATTTTTTACTGGAAATGTGATAGTTAATATTACATTGTATGGATTATGTAAGCTCTAATAGGCCGCGCTTAGTAAAATTCCATTTAAAACAGATAAAGATAAGCTATTAAGCATTAGAATAGATAAACTTACTATTAACAATGTTTGACTATGACTCACAGTCGCGTATTTTTAAAAAAATGTTTGAATTCTACTATAACAAATAAATACCATTGCATCCTCTCCTTAGTCATACGTTATTTCTTTACTTGCTCTTCTTAATTCAAAAATTATATGATGTTTTTTGTTTTTATCTTATACTTAGGTACTCAGTAATGCATCCTACAATTGAATGAATAATTATGTTAATATTAAAGTTCATTATTACCACATTGATAAGAAAATTTTCGATAAGATAAAATGTATGTAAAATTAAAATTTTGATAAGAGCTATAATCAGACTAACTGTAATACTGTTGGAACGAGAAATTTTATTCAGTCACAAAATTATAGTATGTTGAAAAACGCGTTCTTTCAAATATTAAAAAGAAAAAAATTTTCTATTTTAGGTAATATATTAAAGGCAATAATTACAAAATTTTAAAGTTAAAAATCTTTGGATTTAAAAAAAATTTATTGTTTCAAGAACCCGCAAATATGATTGTGTTAATTATACATTAATAAATTGAGAGTGAGCTAATTGCCAAGGTATCGGATATTGTGCCGTGATTTTACTTATAAGAATTATTTTGTGTATTCCAAAAATTTATAAATCATAAATTTTTATTTTAATCTAATCATACAAAATTTAATATAAATTAATAAACAAAAGAAGAAAAGCAAGAATAATGAGTGACAATAAAAATGTAAGACGTGTTAGTACACCAGATGTATCTGATATTAGTAGCTCATCAAAGGATCCCTTCCATAATTTTCGTTCATTACGTTCTCATCGAAGTCATAAGCAATTAACAAAAAAACCTAAAGTATCAGTAATATTAGAAGTTGATACTGATGCTGAATCAAATGATGAAAATAAACCAAAGCAATTAAATCAAAATAAACCGAGACCGGTATCAATGAATAGTTTAAAATTTGATTTAGAACAACCGATACGTATGAGTAGTACAAGAGATAGCCGTCGTAGTACAAAAAGTATTGTTAGCACAATAAGTACAAAAAGTCTTGATTTAACAACATTTAATAGAAATGAATCAACTAATTCCAGTCGTAATAGTTATGATCGAACAAAATTAAAAAGATATGAATCTAGTTCCAGTCATAATAGCTATGATCGTACAGGTGGCACAATTAATGGTCATTTAAATAATGGTTTTCAAAATAGTAACAATAATTTACATCGTTCAACAAGTTCAATTCATAGTACTGAAACTGGTCCACCGTAAGATAAATAACTTTTAATATGATTTAAAAAAAAAAACTCGATTAGCTTTTAACTAGTGTTGAAGGGTCGGCTAAGATAATTGCAGTTTTTACTGTTACATTCAAAATTCTAGTTTAAATTAAAAAAAAATTTCCATTTTATATTTTAAAAACATCAATTGAGTCATTTTAATGAGAAATACGAATTTTGCAGTTTACCCACAACACCAGTTAAGGGTTAAATAATTTTAATTTTGTTTTTGTTTACATATTTTTATTTATTTATTAATTTTTTTTTTTTGTAGAGTTGTCCGTGAACAATATTTTTGTTGTAGAAAATGGTCAAAAAGAGAGAAAATCTTAACAACTGTTGTTGCAACATTAATTATTTTGGTATGCGGTCTTGTTGTTGCTATTGGTATTGTTGCGGAAAAACGAGCTCAGAAAAACAGTGAAAATTTCTTGTTAGCCCTTTGATACCTGTGATTTTTATTCTATTTGTTTTTTTTTTTTAGGAAAAATTCTATAATTTTTAAATTTTTATTAGCTATAAACTAAAATTTATTTAACAAAAATATTTTCTTTATATATAAAACAATCGAAAAATTTTTAAATTTTAAGACGTGGAAGTGATTTTGTATATATTGTTTTTGTAATTTGCTTTTGTAAAGTGATTAGATTATTAAGTTTTGTAATACGATAATAAATTCACTAATCGTTACTCAATGTGTGTGTGTGTGCACATAAATAAGAAATTATATTGTAAAGAAGGAAAGCTGAGTCACAGTACCCATCAACTTAGCAATTCGGTTGATTTATAATAATCGGTCGGCTGCATGCATAGACTGTAATATGCAATATACTAAAATGCTATTTATTTGTTATATTGGAATGACAAATTTCACTTGAATTTCTGGTGTAAATGCAGTTATAAAGGTAATTTGATAAGTATTACCTATGATAAGGGATCTCAATAGTTTATTTATGATAATAAAACAAGTAAATCAGCCAAAAAATGACGTAACCCATGAAATATAATAAATCTGAAATATAATAAATGAAAATCTCACTACTTCGATATAGATATAGTCAAGAGATGTGGAAACTAAATTATATAACATCTATACATAGAGAAAATATTTGCATATCTGAAATTTTGATTCACAATAAAGAATGGGTGATTTCTGTATCGTAAAAATTGTGCATTAATTTTGGTGGAATATCGTTTTCAATATTGTATGTGCAGAAATTCTAACGAAACATTCTATTAATTCTCTTGATACCGAATGTTGTTTAAGATCCGTGTTGAAAAGGGGGAAAAATTTTAATGATTTTTATCCGTTCAACCCAGTTTTTAATTGTTTCTGTTGTTTTGTGCTAAAATTGCTGTGTTTAGAATTTGATATTTTTTATTTTTGTAAATTTCAGATTCGTTCCATAATGTAAACTATTTTTCTAATTTATATTAAATTCTTGGACTAAAAATTATACCGTAAAAGATATTAATTTAAACTCAGTTCAAACAAATACCCTTCGAGGAGATGAAAAAAAAAAATTAATTTTTTAAATTCCATCTCTTTTCAAAACGGTAGCAAATTTAATTTAACCAATAATTCAGTAATATACTCAAATTAATAATAAAAAAAAAATATTCAAGATTTTAATTATCGTAAAAATCGTTATCGTAACTTTAATAAAATATTTTCAAATTTTTAATTTAATTTTTTCTATGTTTCCTTCTTGATGAATGAATTTATTCCGACAAATTAGTTTTATTTACACCTTTAATAATAGCATTCCTTTATATGATGCTCACATAATATCTTGGCTTGCAACACCTTAGTAAAATTATATCGTAAATTGATTATTTTAAAAAGGTGCATAAAATTTACAAGTCATTCTGTATTGGTAGGTATAGGTACATTAAGAGTAAAATTTAACAAAAGTTTTTGTTCCTTTTTTTTAATTTCCTTTAAAATTTTTATTAAAAATATTTAGAAGCGCAGATTTACAAACAAAACAAAAGAACCGAATATGAAACTTTCCGGATTCTTGCATTTTATAAGAAATTTAAAAAAAAAAGAGAACTAATTTTTTTTTTTAATAAATTTTTTTTTTAATTATTAAAAAAAAGAACCTTAAATGAACGGAGAAATTAAAAAATTTTTTCATTTCTTTTGATAACTTTTTTATAAAATTTTAATAGGGAACCTCTTAAATATTATTTTTTAAAGAATAGTTTTTAAGTTGATAGCGGTTACCAGTAGCACCATGTCGAATTTTGGAAATTAGTTTATTACTTCACACTTTTTATGTAAATAAAATTTGTAAAGTCACTCCCCAATAATTTATCGATATGTGGAAAGAAATTGGTTAAAAAAAATTTTTTTTTATTAAATAAGAAATGCAATAAAAAATTGTTTAAATATTTTATTCGATTTTTATGAATTAAATTTTTCTTAAAGAGCCATTTCATTCTCGATCTTCTATTGTACAAAATAACAGTAACCCACAAAACTTTGATTACTTTTGAATTCTTTTGAATAAATTTATGTTTTGGACTCATCTTATAATTGATTATATAGCGAAACTTTCATAGACATATCCAAAATAACACAAATAATCCCGAAATATAAAAATTCAACAAAATTTTGAGGATCAATTTCATTTAAAAAGTAAATCAAGTTGCAGAACAACCAGAAACATACTCAAATTTCACCAGAAACGTGGCATATAATTCCGCCCTACTAAACAAAATATTAAATATCTGACCATTGGTGCAGTGGTTATGGCACCGGTCCTTTAACCGAAGGGTCTCGGGTTCAAACCCCGGTCAGGTCACTATAAAAATTATATTCAATATTATTATAACTTAATATACAATACTAATAAATATTATACAAGTAATTTTCAAATATTCGTAATATTCGATATTAAAAAAAACTAAGAAAAATAAACAGTAAAATATTAATAACCTCAAATAATTTATATAAATAAAACTACGGCAGGCTAGTCACCTACCTAGTTAAACTCTATGACACTATGAAACTATTGCATGAGAAATCATGCACTAGCCCTATGCTCCTTCTAGGAGTGAAAAAAGGAAAAAAAAAAAAAAAAAAAAAAAAAAATATTGGTTTTCTAGTTACAGAAAGGTTGAAATCATCGACCGATCTGTAACACTGAAGTGATTCCTTGCGGCTGCTTGTTTTTAAAGAAATAGAGTTCAACGATATCATTTATTCCATATGAACAACAATAAACACATTTTGAGGAACATCAGCGTTAATTGTAGTGTCATTAGTAAACGTAATAAGCTAAAAAATTTTGTTAACTAGCATATGAGTTCAACTGGAAATTTTTGAACAAAATTTTCCGTTAACGAAATGTCCGCTCTAAAATAGCTGGCCGTCCTTTTGGCTTCACTTTTTTTCACAAGTTTTCAACAAATCGAGATTGTACAAAATAAAAACTTGAAAAGTAACATAACAAAATTTTGAGAAACCATTGATTATTAATTGAGGTGCAAATTTTGCAAGTTAAGTTTGTCATTCGCAAATATTGAAAGGAAGCAAAAGTATACATACATACTTACATATTAAAAATATAAAAATTATGAATGAGATTCAAAATATTCTTTGATCTCATTTAATTTTGGTTTACTTAGAAAATCGGTTCATCTTAATAATTTTTTATGTTCTTTTAATTCCATTTAATCCTTATAATCGGTTTTTCAGTTTTAAATTGTTCAGCTTACAAGTATTATGTATGTATGTATACATAAAGAGAGAGAGATTATTATCTCAAATTACTCCAAATATTTCAGTTCATATTCGGTCAATTATTCTTTGTAATCTTTTTTAATAATTTTCTTTACAAAAATTAAATTACTAAAAATATTTCATTTTAACAAAAAATTTAATCTAATAAACAATTGTTATTATCGGTTTTTGAATAGTACCCGGCCTATACAATATGAAAATGTAACAAAAAAAAATTAAAAACAATTTTTAATCTTCAAAAGTAGTAAATCGTCTTAAACAAGACGACAATTTATAAAAACTATTAAAAAATTTACATTGACACTCTGCCGTCTTTATTATTTTCTAAATAAGGATTTGCAATAGTTCAAACTCAGTATTAATTCACATTCGCAGGCACACAGAGTTTGAAATGATTTAGAAAGGAAAACAAGGTTAAATAGTTATTAAGACTTCTTGCATTTTAATATTTATGCAGAAATATTTTCTAAAAATTCTGATTATTAGTAAATCTGGGACAATACTAATTATTACAAATATTTACAAAAGAGGTCTAATTTAAAAATGGTTTTTAAGAATTTGTTTGAGATGTAAATTCTTTGTTTCTCTGTTTCTTTTAAAATTGCTTTTAATATATAGTCTGTCTGTCCTTAAAACAATTAGGGTATATAAAACGAACTCAATTCACAGAAGTATCCTGTATTTTTACTTAATCCATTATTTTGTTTTTAGGGCTACAAAAAAAATCACTTATATTCATTTAAAAAAATTCAAATTTGATTTGAATGAAGGGTTTTCTTGAAATATGAATTTGGAAAATGATTGAATTAAAATTTGATCTTATTTCAGCCATTTTGTGAATCAAGATATCTGCGAATAATGTGATTGTTATTGAAAAAACAAAAAAAAATAAAATAAATTTTTAATTATAAATAATCTTTTGTTATACAATTTTTTTTCGAATTTTGTTCGAGCATTTTTGTGTTTTTCTTTCATTTTGTAATTTTGATTCATTCCGGTGCTATTATTAGTTACCTAATCAGATAATCATTTAATTTAGAAATGCAAAAATTCTTGACACCATTTATTTTAATTTTATTATTTAATTTTTTTCTTATTTTTTAATTCTAATTCAAACACGGGTAAAATAAAGAAAAAAACAAAAAAAATTCTATTAAAAAAGAATTTTTTTGCCATCAATCACATCCAAATATGTCGGCATACCAATCACTTTAATTATTCAAAAGGGACATTTTTTTTTTTTTGTTTTTTTGCATATAAGCAATTTAAAAAAATATTTTGTAATTTTATTGATGCATAGAATTTTATTTATTTCAAAATATTTTTTTTTTTTGTTTTATTGAAAATTACTATAAAAAATCTTAAAATAACGCAAAAAAAAAAAAACAAAAATTCTTGAAAAATCAGAAAAAAAAAAATTAAAAATTGCAGTTTTGCGCATTCTATACGTTAATTTGCAAAAATATTCTTTCAGCACAAAAAATAATTTTGTTTTTATATTTTTCATTATTTATTAATAGATTTTGAATTAAAAAATCTGGCATTAAAATTATGGTGATTTTTAAAATGATTTTACGAAGGCATATTGAAAAGCTTTCAAGAAAAAATTAAGTCCCAGAAGCTTTTTTAGAGAATCTGAAGACACGTTTACGTTCTTTCTTGTAAACATATCCAAAGGATTTATCGCCCAAATGAGTTATATTCAGGAGTCTATACAGATAAGATCATATTTTGACCATGTTTTCCTTGGCGTCCCGCATGGGGACAGGGCTTCCAACTGCGCTCGGCATACGATAGA